GGCATGGCGGTCATTCTCACTTTCACTGCTGCTGCTACTATCACCCGACAACTGTGTATAATCCTCATCGTTGTCTGAATCGTCAAACACACTTTCTTCACCTTCAGAGAATAATTCGTGGGCTATTTGCTCTGGGGTGAGGGACTGAGTGATGCGTGCTCGTGAGGCGTTTGACCGTGCGCTCGCCATGGTGACTCGCTAAACTGAGGCCTCCCATGCCATCGGAGCGTGAGCTGGATTTTTTTTCAAAATGGCCGCTGTTTACTAGAGCCCCTGGGCAGCGTATGGGACCCCCAGCTACACCGCGGGCCATTCAAATCGTGCGCGGTACCCATACACTTCATATGAAGTGAAGCGCAGTTGACTGGTAAAACGATTTACACTTCATATGAAGTGATGCGCACTTTAAGGGTTAAAAGGGATGGAACCGAAGTTCTACTGAACTTACTGGATCCCGCAGCCTCTCCGAGGCACAAACCTCGGTTTGTGTAAAAGCCTGGTTTGTGCCTCGGAGAGGCTACGGGATCCAGTAAGTTCAGTAGAACTTCGGTTTCAACCCTTTTAACCCTGTCGTAGCTCAGTCGATTAAGGCAGTGTCTGGGATGCTCCCAGACGCAGGTTCGAATCCTCATCACTGCCCTTGTGGATTTGTTCATTTGATGCATCACGTTAGTGTGACCTCTGTGTGAGATGATGTAAGGGCGAAGAGGAAGAACGGCCTATTGACATAGCTCGGGTGCAGGGGGGGGGGTTGTGTAAAAGCCGGGTTTGTGCCTCGGAGAGGCTACGGGATCCAGTAAGTTCAGTAGAACTTCGGTTTCAACCCTTTTAACCCTGTCGTAGCTCAGTCGATTAAGGCAGTGTCTGGGATGCTCCCAGACGCAGGTTCGAATCCTCGTCACTGCCCTTGTGGATTTGTTCACTTGAGGATGTTGAACAGATATTATTAATTTGGATACATAGCAAGGAGTTAGCGGGTGATAGAGTTTCAGAGGCCATCATTTGTGAAAAAGCAAGGAAATTGCATGAAGACCTTTTACAGAAAACCCCTGGAACGAGTGATGCAAATGTGAAAGAGTTTAAGACGAGCTGGGGATGGTTTGAGAAATTTAGAAAAAGAAGTGGCATTCATAGTGTTCCGAGTGTTGTGTGTTGCGAGCTGGTGGAGGAACACAGCGAAGAAATGACCACTGAAGAACTTCACAAGGAGCAGCAACAAGAGACAGCTGAGGAAATTTCTTCAGGGGAGGAGGAGGAGACAGTATAGAATGTCCCTTCCTCATTAATTAATTAAGAAAATGTGTGCAGCATGGGAAGAACTGCAAACTTTTGCTGAAACGATTCACCCAAATCACGGTGCAGTAGGCCATTGCCTTAACCTTTTTAATGACACTGATGCCTCACTACAGACAAAAATTAAAATGTATGGAAAACAAAAATTTATGGAAAGGTTTTTAGTGAGACAAACAAGCAGTGAATCACAACCAGTATGCAGGCAAACCAGCATGCAGGTCCTAGTGGTATGCAGGCAAAACGTAGGAGTGTGTGTACCCCAAAGAAGTCATCACTGCCTGATGTTATAATGGAAGGGGACTCCCCTTCCATACAGTAACACCTCTCTTCCCCCCCCCCCTCCTCACCATCTTCCATACGCATCAAGAGTCCTCCATAAAGGTAAGATAAACATATGTACTGTATTGTAGTTAGATAAAAAAGTTGTATTCAGTATAAAACTTATTTTTAAGTTAATATTATTGGGGGTGTGGAACGGATTAATCAATTTCCCTTTATTTCTTACGGGAAAAGTCACTTCGACTTACGATATTTCAACTTACGATACGTCTCTGGGAACGGATTACCATTGTAAATTGAGGCCACACTGCACTGTCTCCACTCGATTATCCGGACTATATAGGAAGGACCCCCAGCCAGATAATCACGTTTTCCCGATAAGAATACTTTTTCACCTCCGAGTCCAAAAGGGATCATTTCCAACAATTTTAATACCACACTCATGATTTGAATTGACACACTAATTAGTGTGTGGGCCTGGTCAAGCCAAATAACCAATGTGATCCCGTCCTTGGCGTTATACCACAATGCCACACCATTAGTAAAATATTTTTTTAAATAACTTTTTTGTTTTCATAGTAACTTTGAACATTTTTGACCAAGACTATGTCTGGTAGCAGCATCAATCGTTCTGGAGGTGTTAAAAGGAAGAAGGTTACCCTAACAATTAAAGACAAGTTACATGTTATACAACTTTGTGAAAGTGGCCGGTCAACTTCAAGTGTTGCCAAGGACTTTAATATAGGCACTAGTACTATTTCTGATATAAGGAAACAAAAAGAGATATATTTTTTAAATACATTTCAACCAGTAAGAGTGAAGGTGCAAGCACTAGCACCTTCACAGGGTGTGGTAGCCAAGCGCCTTCAACAAGTGAGGCCTCACAGGTAACCCAAGTGCCTTCAACCAGTGAGGCTTCAGCAGCTGGCAGTGAAAACTAACTTTGGTTAATGAACTGTACAGTAATTTTAAGTGTTAATTTTAGTGTTGTGTTAGTATAGGTTACGTAAATTGTCAAGAATTCTTAACTTCAAGATGTGTGGCATCAATCAAGAAGACGAACAACAACAATAACAAGGTAAGTTGATGTTTCTAGTTGAATATTTTATAATTATATGTGGCAAGGCAATTCAAATTATGTTGTTTGTGGTATAAAAATAGTTGGAAATGGTCACTTTTGGACTCGGAGGTGAAAAAGTACGTTAATCCGGAAAGTGTGATAATCCGGTTGGGAGTCCTTCCCATATAGTCCGGATGAGGGAGTGTATACAGCATACGATGTGTGCCATGCAGGTAGTTAGACCAAAATCGTATATATACAATTAGCTCAGTTCAACGGTTAAACGAGGATTGTTCATCCATGCCGTCTCCGAGACCAAGTGTCGGGAGGTGGCTGTCGTCAACTATGATTCACCAAAGTGTAAACAGTTGAACAGTGTTTTATTTTGCTAACCCATTGTTTCCAGGGACAAGGGGTTGAAGGATGATAAAATGGTGTTAGGAGACGCAGGTGGCGTTAGTGGTGAAAGTTGTTCAGAGGGGAGGCAGGTGGTGTCAGTGGTGGAAGTTGTCAGGAGAGGCAGGTGGTGAGTGGTGTTATGAAAGGCAGGTGATGTCAGTGGTGGAAGTTGTCAGGAGAGGCAGGTGGTGAGTGGTGTTATGAAAGGCAGGTGGTGTCAGTGGTGGAAGTTGTCAGGAGAGGCAGGTGGTGAGTGGTGTTATGAAAGGCAGGTGGTGTCAGTGGTGGAAGTTGTCAGGAGAGGCAGGTGGTGAGTGGTGTTATGAAAGGCAGGTGGTGTCAGTGGTGGAAGTTGTCAGGAGAGGCATGTGCGCACACACACACTCAAACTAGTAATGTATGCCTGACCTGGCCAGAGGCTTGGTCTGGCCTCGTCTGGCCTGGCCTAAAGCTTGGTCTGGACTAGTCTGGCCAGAGGCCTAATCTAGCCCGAGGCATGATCTGGCCTGGCCTAAGGCCTAATCTAGCCCGAGGCGTGATCTGGCCTGGTCTGAGATCCCGCTCCTACCCTGAAACCCTCAGATGCTTTGGGGCCAGAAGCAGGGTGGGAAGGTATAGAGGAAGGGCGAACACACCTGATGGGAAAAGAAGAGGAGGTGTAAACGTAGCCAAGGTTGAAATAACCAACACCCCCAATTCTGTATCCCTAAACACCAACCAGGCCAGCTCCAGAGCTTCCAATTGGGCAACCAACCTAGGCCGCAAAACTTATGAGTGTTTGCTGCCTGACAAGCTCGAAGTTATCAGAAGGGCTTGTAAAAGAGAAACATGATGGGAGCAAACTCAACATGACCCAGAGTTGAAGGTGTCACTGACACAGACAGCATGTGGGGGCAGGCAGAATGAACGTCTAGGTGGCACAGACGACAAGCAACCCTCAACTTGCTTAAGACGAGGGATGGGTTCGGGAGGTAAACGCCTAGGAACCCCCCAAACCTATGGAGGATTACCATGGCATGCAAGGGACAATCCAACAGGGCACCAGGATACTGGGACACTACGCTAGTACAGTACCTTCAGAAAGTGATATGTAAGCCGACAAAGCATAGTTAAGGCAGCTGTGAAGGTCGAACTCGGAGCGCTGATGTGCAGCACATGTGTAACTAATGCACCCCACCGGCCAGGACACTCTGACCTGGGAGAAGACAAGCCAAAGATAATGAACTTACTCCAAGACAAAAGCCACCATAAGCAAGGACGACTAAGGGAGCATCGTCCAAACACTCCAAGGAAGATGGCCCCTGGCAGTGCAGTGTCAGCACTGGGGAGCACACAGTGAAGATAACCCTAAGCACATGCAACTCTAAGTGCTCCTAATTGTTGGTTCAAACTACACCATAGTGTACAGGAACAGCCTCAAAGGCAAAAACCACCACTAAGCAGAAAGCAAATACTGGAGCCAGAGCGAGAGAGAGGAGACCTGACACACACTACCATCAGGGGTAGAAATGAAGGTGGAGTAGCTGGCTGACCCATGGCTGCCTCCCTCCTCCCCACAAACAAGGAGGGGGGGGGGGCAAACAGGCGGGTGCTAGTTTCATGAAAATTTGATTCATTTACATTGCTGGGGAAGAGCTATAGCAGTTTCTTGAGGCTGCAGTTTTGTTTAAGGCCAGTAGTGGTTTATTTTGTTTTGCTGACTTTCTGGGTGCCTTTCTCAGTGATGGCATAAACAACTAACTTTATATATAAGATGCCACTGCTCCCTGCACCTCTGTGAGGGGAGCCAAGTTTTGGCTCTTGGTCCCAGATAGGCCACACAACTCTAACTGATGGGACCTGGTACTGTAGTACCAGACACCATCACAGATAGTAGCTTCTGGGAGCCACAAAGGGCCCCCCCCCCCAGAAAGTGGCATCTATATGGCATCATTTAAAGGGAAAGTTAGCTAATTATGAGAAAGCTTACCTTTCCTGGCTAGATCAAGTGCTGTGGAGTTGCCAATACCACTGTTAGATCCTGTCACGATCACCACTTTCCCCCTCACTCTGTTTTGGCAGTGACACTTTATGGGTGTATCCAGTCTGTCAGGAAGTCAATACAGGTCAAACTATAAGAACTTTGAATATTATGTAGCATATTACAATAAAGATTATCATACCCAAAGTGGGCCATCCAGAGTCTTGGGGGCCCCATGCATGACTATGCCTCGAAAAAACATTAAATATAATGAATGCCTCATTCTGGTGGGTTCTTGGCGGCTCCCTCTTGGAAGCACTTGGACAGAGCTCCACACGTAATGCAGGAAAATATGAGAAAGACAAGAACTGCCCTTTAAGGAGGGTGATTAATGGAGTGAAACACATGATGGAAGTGCTTAGAAATGACAGGAAATTGCAAAGTGATGAGGCTGGCAAACTTTGGTCAATAAGACAAGACCTCTCAAAGGAGGATAGAGAAAAGCTGAAAATGAACCTCACTGAAGCAAAATGTCTACATGGGGATAGAAATGAAAAAGAAAGAAATTATTTGTTTCTACAAAGAGTCAGGGACTGGAAATCTAGTGAAATGGTACATAAAAACAAGGCAACAAAATCATTAGTGGAAGTAAAGAACCAAGGGGAAGGGAACATGTTCCTGAAAATTGTATATTCCAACATAGATGGAGTTAGATAAAAAAAAAAAATATTGGAGTTGCAGGATATAATTCAGCTTAAGGTCCCAAATATTGTCACAGTATCAGAGACAAAACTTGCAGAAAATATTTTAAATTAAGTCACATACCCAAGGGGCTCAGTTTGGACATGTGACAGGAAAACTAGGAAGGGGTGAAAGAGTGGCTGTGGTGGTGAAAGAACACCTAAAGTTAATAAAGTTAATACTTAAAAATCCTTGAGAAGTTGACATAATGGCATTACAGGTCTGGAACCAGGATGATAAACTGATAATTGTAAATGCCTACAGCCCACCAGCAAGCAATACATGGACAGAGGAAGAACTGGATGGCAAACAAGAGGGCCTCATAATGGTCATGAGAGAAATTATGGTACAAGCAGATAAAGATAAATCACGACTGTTGATACTAGGGGACTTCAACTTTAACCCTTAAACTGCGCATGGCGTATATATACGCCATGAGTAACATGTCCCACTGTGCGCATGGCGTATATATATGCCATTGGGTGCTAGGCATGATTCAAATGGCCCGCGGCTACACAGGGTTCACATTAGCTTCCTCAGGGCTCTTGTAAACAAACGTCAATTTTTTTTTTTTTAAATCACGGGCAATATTCTTCGGTGTGAGAGTCACAGTACTGTTGGAGCAACCAAGGCTGGCGCACGCAGCATGTGACCACAGCATCGCCGAAAAATGTCAAAATAAGTATATAACTGCTATTATTTAGTGATGACAGTATTACAGATGACCCCTGACTGTGATAAAAATGACCAGGATTGTGATAATAGCAGGATTGTTGTGATAATTAGCGCTGTGGAAGGAGTGATGCTGAGGGACGGAGGGAGACAGCATCGTTTACTGACTGTGGCCACCTGTTATTGTCTGCATTCACCATACCAGCTCAGTGGTTCTCTATGGTGAACACAAAGGTAGATACTTATATATAATGTGTGTATTAGTGTAATAACAGCAAAAGAATTATGTTGGGAGGAGCCATTTGGGTGACGGAGTTGGTGTCATCTGCATGACTTGTCTAGCTGTGTAGAGGGTGGCCACTATGCTCTTTGGGCACTCTACAAGCTTAGGTGTACAGTTATGGTGCATACAGCATGTAGATACTTATATTATAATGTGTGTATATAGTATAATAACACTGCAAACAGTATTGTTGGGGGAGAAATTTAGTACGTATCACCTTGAATGTGTGAGGGAGGCAGTCGCCAGCTGACTGTGTGGCGACGTCTCTTAGTGCCTGAACTAACTATATCAGCTTAGTTGTACAGTTGTGTTGAACAAAACATGTAGATACTTATATATCCGCTTACCACTACACCAGTCTCCGTGGTGTAGTGGTAAGACACTCGCCTGGCGTTCCGCGAGCGCTATGTCATGGGTTCGTATTGTGACGATAATCTCCTTCAAGAGATTGAGCCTGCTCTTCCCTCCAAAATTACGTCTTCACAACTATATAAAAGACTATGGAAGAAATGTCCAACAACGACAACAAACACCAGCAAGGCTTGCCAGGGTGAGCAGAAACGTATGCAACCAGCCACCTGTTCGAACTCCAACCACCAAACTACCCGTTGATCGCTACGACTCCGCTGATTGGTCGCCGGTCTGGCTGCACCTGCCTCGCCCCCCCCCATACTACCCGATGTCTGGGGTCGCCCCAACATCAGTCTTCAGAATGTTCCGTGCTTTCGTAGCCAGCACACCTCCCAGCTAGACTCTAGAGTGTACTGAGAGAGGTGGTGGCTTTAAGCCAATATTCCAGCACCTCCCACTTACTGTTGTATTGCACTTCTTGTTATTTTGCCTTAACGTAACTTTTCATTTTGTCATTTAAGTATTCTTATTCTTTTGATTCATTGATTTTATTATAAGAATTTGTTTGTGCATTATTTTCATGTTTTGATTTATTTAACGTAATTAAAATTTCATTGTTAAAGTTTACTTGTGTTTTGTGTGTCTTCTCCTTACCTTACCACAGACGAAGTTCCAGTTTTTCTATTTTTTTTTATAACTATGTGACGAGGCCATACCCCTAGCCTTAAACAGCCGAACACCAACGCGTTACCGTCACAAGTTTTATGGGGGCCTGTCCTAGGAGCTTCACTCAGGTACTGGTGCCAAGTGGTAATTTATGGTAAGCGTATTTAACTTTGTTAACGTAGCTTTACTATTTTTCATTCAATTTCATTTTTTATAAGGTGCGGTGTATTGTGCATTACGAGAGTAACATATAGTGAAGGTGAGACAACTTTGGATTACGTGGTGACTGTAGGCCTCAGTCATACTCTTAATTGGTCATCTCTCCCTCCATGTTATTACTCGTATTTACCATCTATGTCCCTTGAATATTTCTCATTCTGACAGATCATCATATTGGTACCCTGGTACTGTGGTCTGCCCCGGGTCAAGAGTACCCAATCTTCTGCAATCTGACTGTAGGAGGACAAAGAGGGCCATAGTTCCTCTAGCTCGAACTTTAGTTGCTGAATTGGGACCTCAGCAGCAGTTCTCGTCACAAGTTGACACCTCGCACCCCTACACGTCAGTCAGAGATGATGATACATACAACGGTAGGGAATTAGCTTATTTTTTCAGAGCACAAAAGTTCGCTAATTCTGTAAGTATCATATTAAATTCAGTAGGAAAAACTTGCTTTATGTCCTATAGAGACTTGGCAAGGTATGCCTACATCCTTGGACTACCAATTTTACTTTTGAAGCATTTAACTGTTTCATTTGTTTTCGAAACTTTGTTTCATTTGTTAGTAGGATTTTCTTGCCCTTATTCTCTTACATGAGTACCGGGTACAAGATTTCCTGCGCCCTTGATTTAATTTAATCATTTAATATCTTTCACTTAACGTTAATTGTTAAAGATCACACAGGATAGGTACCAGTTGCCACGTTGTCCTGTTTCTGACATTTCATTATTGAACATTCGTGTACCTTTATTTGCTAATTTCACCATGTTTCGTCTCCAAACTTTCCGTGCAAATCCAGCAGGTGAAATAGGGACTTTGAGTCGTGCCAAGAGGACTGAACTACAAACTCTTGCACATGAGTATCAACTAGAAGTTCCCTACCAAGCCAACAAAAATGACCTACACAACCTGTTGCTGGATTACTATTTAGAGCAAGGTAAGATAGACTCTGAAACTCATGAAACTTACTATATTGCAGATAAAACTGACTTGGCAACGATGAAACTTAAACTAGAGCTGGCCAAGATTGAACGTGAGCAGCAAAGAGAAGCAGCTGCCATACGAAGGGAAGAACACGAACGCGAAGCCGCTTTGAGGAGAGACGAACAAGAACGCGAAGCTGCTTTGAGGAGGGAAGAACAAGAACGAGAAATCACCCTCAGAGAACGTGAAGCTGCCTTGAGGAGAGACGAACAAGAACGTGAGGTTGCACTACTCCAGGAGCGGGAACGAGTACAGCTTGAAACCAAACGACGCGAGTTGGAGATGCAACGCGAACATGACAAGCAACAAGCGACTCTGGCTCTAGAGTGTCGTCAACGCGAAATCTCCTTGGAAACTTCACACTTCACTCAACGCCAACAAGCTACTGCCAATCTTCCCGTCAGTTTTAATATATCACATGCAAGTAAGTTAATGCCATCCTTTGTAGAAGCAGAAGTTGATGTGTTCTTTACCACCTTTGAAACCCTCGCTAATCAACTCAGTTGGCCTGTCGACCAATGGGCAACACTTCTCAGAGTCCATCTTACAGGTAGAGCTGCAGTCACACTCAGTACTTTGGCGTCTGAGAATGACTACTACACTCTGAAACAAGCAGTGTTAGACGCCTACCTACTTTCCACCGAAAGTTATAGAAGGAAATTCCGTGACCACCTGAAGGCAAGTACCACTACCTTCCTCGAGTTTGCTAACACGAAACGGAGGTATTTCATGAAATGGCTGGAAGCAGCACATGTCTCTACTTTTACAGAACTCGTGAACCTGATGCTTGTTGAAGAATTCTTGAGACGTGTGCCGCCTCCTGTCCGCCTCTACTTAGCAGATAAAGAAGAAACCGACTACCTGAAGTGTGCTAAGTCGGCTGACACTTACAGCCTCATCCACCGGCTGACACCTGAACCATCCTCCAGTAAGAAGTCGTGGTACAGTTACGAGAAGGTGAGCCCCGATCAAGCTGGTTCACAACTGTACTGCAAGTATTGTAGACTCTATGGACATACCATAGACAAGTGTGGTAAGTCTCAATACAAGGGAACCACTGACCAACAACGACCCAAACCCACTCCTCCTAAGTCCGGTAAGCCTGTGATGAATGTTGGTGTTGATGTTAATGATCTTTCTCTTTTCAGTAACCACCTGTATACTGGAACTGTCTCTGCCAACGGTTCAAATCCGGAGGGACGTTTCAA